TCTGTATGTGTGTGTGTGTGTGTGTGTGTGTGTGTGTGTGTGTGTGTGTGTGTGTGTGTGTGTGCTGAAACAACAAACCAATGTACCAATATCTGGACAATAAATATGTATTACTTTTAAATTATCCTAAAGAGACATCAGAGGGTTAGAGGGTCTCACAAGTAGACCCTACTTCTTTACTTTCCCCTCTGCAGTTTCTGACTGTCTGTTCTGCTATTATTTTCCAGAGCATCACACGCCAGTTACTGTGTAAGTCACTTAAAGTAAGTGTTACTCTTTAATCAAACAAGCAAACACAACATGCATGGCATGTCATGCTCACTGAAATCATAAACAAAGCATAAAGGCATTCCAGGGCTTGTTTAGTGTAGGTATGGGGGGGGGGGGGAAGTTTTAAAAAACGTGACAGAACAAGAACAAGAACGACAAATAAAGCGGCTCGCATCAGGAAAGTAATGTATATTAAGTTCACCACAGGATACGAGTAAAACCAATAAATTATTCAAAATTCTTTTTTAAAAAGTTAATCAGAAGCATATCTTTCAAAGGAAGCTGCTTTTAAAACATTGAGGGAATCAAAAATCAAAATTAAAAATGCCTCCACATTAGGAATGCAACAGTTACATAATTTGAAGGGTCTTTGTGAAAGGATACACTGATGTCCAACCATCGATTTCTGGAATAACGGACAACTCGTATTCAAATGGTATGGTACCAGGGTGTTTTAAGTAGACCAATATGAAACCTCTGTTCAAAACAGGCAGGTTTTGATCAAAATAACCGACAGAATTTTAGACCAGTGTCTGATCTATCCATCTTGTCAAAGTTTTTTTTTTAAAGTGGTATTTAAAGAACTCTTAACTAATTGAATTTAATGACAATGAGAATCGTTATTCATCTCTTGGTCGTTAACAACGGCAGTAGACGTTACAAAAGTTAGACCTAACAGTGCACTCACGCAAACGCACAACAAGACAGGACATTAAGCCAAGTAAATACATGTCTCAGGGGCTAGGACAACCTGCTCCGTAAAACATTCTCTCTCTCTCTCTCTCTCTGTTTTATTTGTAGCACTGTGTGTTAGTAACCTCACTGCAGTTGGTACGAATGAATTTATATATCTGTCTGTTCTTGCTTTTTTGAAAATGTATCGTTTACTGCGGGTCAATATTTGAAATTCCGATGTCAGTGGTTGGCTGTGGTCACTAAGCATTATTTCCGCCTTTTTTTGAACGTTTGTCTTGTGAGAGTAATAATGGTTAAGGTGAAGTGTTCTAGTCAACACATATATAAATAAGGCACACCACTCAATGTTTGCTAGGTGAGTGCTATCGTTCAAGGACTCAGGCTCTTCTAAACTAACCCCCCCCCCCCATTTTTATTTTTCTATTTTAAAAGTTTCATTACGGAACATACCTCTTCAGGATGCCTCTCATAAACAATATCTCTCCATCCACCACCACTTCGGTGACCTCAAACTGACAGATGTCTCCCACAGCCGGGTCCAAGCCAGAGCCGCCGGGCACGGAGAGGGAGGCGTTGAACATCTCCATCACCAGACAGCCCAAGTGACTTCTGCTGCGCTGAGGAACAAAGCACAATGCAGGATTGAAGAAAAGTTTAGAGCAAGGGCCTCTCAAATGCATGGCCCTCAGGCCAGCTGAGTCCGACAAAACGGGATATTTTGCTGCCCCTACCTAGTGATTTCATAAAAGATAGATCAAGGGGAAGACCACATGGAACCTGGAGAAGGAGGAGTCACAGAAATGGATGAACAGAAAAGTGGGAAGACATGGAATAGCATCAAGAGGTTAGCTTAGGATACGGAAAGGCGGAAAGTGTTTGCTACTGGCCTATACCCTGATACAGGGTGAGAAAAAGGCAATGAAGATGATGACTTGATAATTGATATCAAAGTTTTGTGTTTGTACAGCTTTTGTAGGCTTTTTCTCACAGGCATCTTTTTGCCAAAGTGTTTCTGTGGATCTGCATACTTTTCTTAAAGTCTCTTTTAGCTAACAATGGCTCAAGCTCATGACAGCTTTCGGTGGAATTTATTGACACATTTTATTCACATGATTTCAAAGCCAAATAAAAGATTGTAAAAAGGTATGAAATACAGGTCTACACGCAGCCCAGGCTCACACACACTCTACCGACTGTAGCCCCCAGGTTATCGGTTATTTGAGTTTAAGAAGCCTGGTTTAAAAACACTGCTATAAAAAGTATAGAAAATGAAAACGTGAGTGTATAATTGACACACTAGTGCTGAACTCCAATTGACCAGAACGACACATTTACTAGAGGTTTTATGGCGCTCGCAACAGCGTAAGGTCATATGAGAGCCAGAAGATTAGAGGTGTTACAAGAGAGTAATAAACATAAAAAAGAAAAAGGGGAGATAAGGACAATAGATATTTGATAGGAAAGAAAAAGCAAACAACACCAGAGCACCCGGCAACCACCCACTGTAGTTTACCCCACTTCTACCAGAACAACACAGAGCATGTCCTTTTAACTTCCCCTAATCAAATACACATTTTCGTCCAGTCCTTCAAATCCATGTTTATAGTAGTGGCCAAATTAAAAATTGACACGATGATGCTTCCTTTATTTGTGAGAATTCGAAGCATAAAAAGCATATTTTTCGAGTGACAGTAAATTGTTTAAACAACAGCTTTGGTTGAAGAATCTGAGTCACTTTTCAATCACAAAATCGATAATTTCAAATCCCTCCACCAAACATCTGCTTTTACTGAATTTAATCTCACAAGCCGCTTCCTTGATGCTACCGATAGTTAAATTTTTGACATGGTAAATGGCATAGATCTTCACCCAAAATTGTTGGTGAAACGAAAACATAAACAAGTTTCAAATGACAGCACAAATTGAATTCTAGCTTCCCAGGAAAATCCACAGAATTATTTCTGGCTGATAGGGGTTAGGTTTCAAACACTTATTTACGCATGTTAGTGCGAAACGAATGCTCTCAGAACCTGAGAAACATTACTGAACTCTACAACCTTTTGACTATGACATTTGCAGAAGCGAGATATCGTGTAATTAACAAGTACAGTGAAACTTGGTTATAATGAAATCCTCCGGCCAGATTTTCAAGTACGATGAATCCAGGTTTTCGATATTGAGCATATTTTAAAAAATCGGTAAGGATAGAATCTGTTCAGAAATTGTCATTATAAGCATGAATATAAAGGGAGAGAACCAAAATTACATCAAAATGCTTGCTTATATGAGTGGTTGCTTCCCTTGATAAAGCACATGAACAATAAGCCATGGGTTATGTTTTCGCAAGATTCTAATTTCATTTTTTTTTCTTCCTGTGAGCCACAGTTGAACTTACAATTGCTTTATGAATATATACTTAAGTACGGGAGATAATTGTCTTTTTAGTTTACAGGTTTTTTTGTCCATGGCAACTCTTATTTAAGTCTTATTGATATCATAGCCTGGGTTTGTAACTTGTCTTTTTTTTTTATATTGAAAGAACTGCGTATTCATAACTAAATTATCAGTCAGACACACACACCTGACCCACCTTTCTCAATCCAGGCACCTAAAACAAACGTCTAGCAGTAGCAGACTAGTATTCGTCAACAACATAATGTGCAGGCACATAGTGCAAGCTGCCATTTTGCAGATGGTAAAACACTAACAAATTCACAAGATCTTTTGCTGCCTACCCCATTCACATCTGGATTCATGTAAAGTGCCTTTGTCAAGTACACAACATCAGGCCTGAGGCTCGAACCTGCAACCTCATGATTGCGAGTCCAGTAGGCTAACTTCTAACCATGGTGTGATTCACAATAAGTGTGCATTGACCCATTATGCAGGGTGACCAACGGTCCCGTGGAATAGGTAAGGGAAGATAAGTTTTATTATGCCAGAAAAAGGCACGAAGCATCATCAGCATGGGCTTCGTTGAATCCCAGTTTTCTCAACTATGTCTTTGTACAAAGGGTATTTAATTGGGTTTTCTTTTTTAAAAGAATTTTTTAAAACAGATTTCTTCTCTTTTCGTTCAGTCCGCGTTTGCATTGAATCCAAGTTTCACCATAGAAAGCAACATTTGTTTGATGGTTATATTGTCAAAGATGATAATTATAATAATAATAACAACACTGATACATCTATACAGTACATGTCCGTAATTGCAAGTGAGCTCTATATATCCTTTGTATTACAACCCATTCCTCGATCGATGGTAACTTTTGATACTTAAAACTGTTTCAAGAACAGTGGTAAGTTGATAAATCATAAATATACATGATTCATAAAGCAGCTACCAGTACAAAAACAAAGAGGTCTTCACATCAAAACATCCTTGGTATTTCTCCCAAAGCACTTCATTAAAAAATGCACATCATGGTTGAATCTCAGATATCATCTACTGTGGGCCACTTAATTTTAATTAATTAAACCCTAATGAGAAAAGACGAGGACGAGGATAAAGAAGGGATTAGGGAATGCAGAAGGAGATATAAGGAAAAAGAACAGTAACAGCAACAGCAACAGCAACAACAACAACCTTATTGACGACTCCTTCCAACTCCATCCCAGGTTGAGGACAAAACACATGAAAATTTGCGATGACCATCATGCTGAGATATCCATCAACGATCAGATGCTTGTCTCCAATGACTTTAATGTCGCTCACATTCAGGAGTGCTCCCTCCAATCTGAAAAATATAAAACAAAAACTTTTGGGGACCAAAAAAATTATGATTATTGCTCTTTAACACTTTTCTGCTGGATGCAGAATGGCCCACATCTCATTGTTGGATTTCCAGGACATATATATCTCACTCTTTTTTTCTATCTCTTTTTTTCTATCTCTTTCTGTCTCTCTCCCTTTCTGTCTCTCTCTCTCTCTCACACTCTCTCTCTCCTCCTTTCTCTCTCCTATGCAGTTGAAATGATTTTAAAAATTCACATATTATCGTAGAACATGTAGATGTTAACCTGTGATCGGTGTACGCAGACAGAAAGGCTGTTTTCCACGTCCAAACACAGATTTAGATCTTCTAAATTTTTATGGGGTATGGTATTTTAGTCTTCAGTCTTGATGCTTTAGAATCAAATGTTCCTGCTCCTTGAAATTCATTTTAAAATATTAACTTTGCTGTTAGGGGAATAGGCTGAGTTCAGTTTGAGTAGTGAACAACGTGCATGAAGTATGAACAACCATCTAAGTACCTGATCCATCCCTTTGTCAAGGGCAACGTTGTAGGCCTACATGTATTATCTTTAATTCAGATCAACTGTGTCAAAAAAACAAAAAAACAACAACAACAACAGTAGCAAAGACCCGATGCAATACGGTTGCGCTAGATGGACCGCTGGGCAATAAACTATTGTTAAGCTATTATATTACAATTTCCCAACGTAAGCGACGCGATGCAATGGCTGAGCAGGCAAGGCCGCCATGCACAAAACTCCAAGGCGCCACGCTGGCGTTTACTAGTTTTATGAGTGTGTGTGTGTGTGCACGTGGCATTGTAACAGTGTCATTGTGAGTGTGTGTGTCAGTACAAGTTTATATATATATATCGAAGTGACTATTCGGACTCGAGTCCGAATATGAAAAAATGTTATTCGGACTCTGATTCTTGTCCAGCATGACATCACTTC